CATAAATATCATGTATGCCAACTACCTTGTTTTGTGAATAGGGAGATTGAAGACCAGAAAGTGACAGCTGTCTGGTGACTGTGGATGTTACAGATCTAGGACTGGGTAGGGCTTTGTGTCCCATGATTAAGTTCAGGGTTTTTCCTAATTCCTAAATGTTAAGTGCTTAATGTTCCAGCTAATTAGGGAGGGATCGTGGAGGATGCCGTTGTTACCTGCAGCATTTTGACATTTAAATCTCCTCCATTCTTCTTTTTTATACTGGTGCTAGTGAAAATCTTATGTAGAACACAGAGGGCAACCTTGAAAAACATTAAGCACTCCATTGATTAAGAACTGAAATGTTGGTCGAGTATTATTCTTCTAGACTCATAGTCTCACCTGCTTTTAAAGTTTATGATTCTTTAATATTCCTAATTTAGTTCTAAAGTTACTTTTCATGTTTATGTTGCCTCCCCTTGGGTTTCAAGATATTGGGTTGGCCAAAGTTTCATCCGAGTTTTTGTGTAACACCTGATGGAAAAACCTGAATGAACTTTTTGGCCAACCCAATTCTTTCACAAAGGTGCGTCTTAATCTTAACCAGAGTGTTTGTGCACCTCCTACCTTTACTGCAATATTTTAATATTTGGTGTTGCTCATTGAAAAGTCACCATACAGAAAACATTGGTCTATAAGGAAGATAATCTGATTGTCTGTACATATTATTACACTTGAACACTTAACCTGAAAATAGTTTGCTTTTTATTTGTTGTGTTGTTCAGTTGCTCAGTCATTTCTGACTCTTCGTGACCCCATGAACTGCAGCACACCAGGCTTTCCTGTCCTTCACCATCTTTTGGAGCTTACTCAAAGTCATGTCCATTGAATTGGCGATGCCATCCAACGCTCTCATCCTCTGTTGTCCCCTTCTCCTCCTGCCTTCAATTTTTCCTAGCATCAGGGTTTAGTCTAATGAGTCAGCTCTTCACAACACTGCTTTTTATATTGGCACTTATTGTTTGGTCAAACAGATATTTTCCAGTGACCTTTCAAATAAATTGCTAGAAAATGAATTCTATGTTACCTATCAGGATTCTGCGGTCATTTTGGCTTTCAGAAACCAAGTTCTAAACATGTAGACAGACACATTTCCTGCAGTGATAAGTCCCAGAACATTCCAGCATTTTACTCACACTCCTGGCCCTGTGCCCTCCAGAATTGGATGTCAAGTCTAGAGGATCATTTATTTTAAAGTTTTTAAAATTACATTTTAAAGTTGGAAATATTTTGTATAATGAAAATTTACAATAATAGGATGAAGAACTCCTGTAGATCTTTCATCCAGGTTGTCCATGTTCACACTCTACCACAGCTATTTTATCTCTTGACAGAGAGATAGAGACATATTTATTTTCTCTGAAATACTTGAGAATAAATTGCAGGCATGATGTTGCTTTATTCCTAAATACTTCAATGTTTATTTTCCCTGTATAAGGACATTCTCCTACATGGCCACACTAAAAATAATCAAAATCAAGAACTGAGCCTTAATATAGGACTATAATCTAATCTACTTCCCAGGTGGCTCAACGGTAAAGAATCTGCCTGCTGACATAGAAGACGTGGATTTGATCCCTGGGTTTGGAAGATCTCCTGGAGGAGGAAATGGCAACCCACTCCACTATTCTTTCCTGGGAAATCTCATGGACAGAGGAGCCTGGTGGGCTACAGTCCATGGGGTCACAAACAGTCAGACACGATTTAGCAACTGGGAACACTCACAAGCATTATCTAGTCTACAGACCTATATATAGTCTACAGACCTATCTTGAGACCTATCTCAAAAATGACAGAATGATCTTAATTCATTTACAAGGCAAACCATTCAACATCACATTAATCCGAGTCTATGCCCCAACCACTAATGCTGAAAGTGAAGTTGAATGGTTCTATGAAGAACTACAAGAGCTTCTAGAACTCACATCAAAAAAAGATGCTCTTTTCATAATAGGGCATTGGAATGCTTATTCTTGGAGCCTTGATTTCCTCTAGTCAGGGGGACACACAAACTCTTCCTTCATGAATTACAGGAATTAAGTAAAGCATTAGGACGGGAACTGGCCCATTAAGGGCCCTATCACTGATAGACATGACTGATTTCATCATTTACATGAACTAACAGGCAAATGTACTTTGTTTTGCATTAAACAGGAAAAAAAAATTCTAAGTCAATGGAAAGCAATTAGCATATTGATATTCCACAGCTACTCTAAGCAAGTTAAAGGGATCCTAGCCCTCCTCATGAAACAAAAAAAAAAAAAAAATCTCAACCTTATCTTGGAACTTGCAAATTAAGAGAATATATTAAACTAAGATGGAGTAGGAAATGGCAACCCACTCCAGTCTTCTTGCCTGGAAAATTCCATGGACAGAGGAGAGTGGCGGGGGCTACAGTCTAGGGACTCACAAGGGCTGTTTTATTTATATCCTGCAGTGGATACTTGGTCTACAGTGCATTAAACGATATACCAACAAACTTTCTGATTGTCAAATCGTATTCCTCTTCCTTGTCTAAGAGGTCTTAAAATAAGACATCTTATCACAGAGGCTAAAGGAAATTATAAAGCACCATTCTTATTTCCTTACTTTCTTTCTTTCTGGAAGGGACAAAGAAGGAACACCTCCAGCTTGGGAATGTGACCCCGAACTGATTATCCAGGCAAATAAACAAATACAGTAAAATATACAAATAGAGGTCGCCACACCTGCAGGCAGGCAGACTGGGTGAGAGGGGACCACCTTGGCCTCTTTTCCACAACCACTGACCGTCCTGCAAGTGCAGCTGTGACACCACCTTGCCTCCAGCAAGGTCAGAGCCCAGCGGGCCACAAACAGAGGCAGCATTGTCTCCATGTCCACACAGAACAGCATCCCATGTGCTCTGGTCTGCAGCTGCAACGTGGCTTCCCCAGAAAGCCATCTGCCATCAGCCACCCTTCTTCTATGGACTCGCCATCCCCAAAATGCCTGATCTTGACTATTTAAACACTCTTCCATTTTCCTTTGGTGAACATGAGACTGCTAAGCTTTCTTATTTGTACACATTGCCTTTAAATGAGAAGATATTTGGCCTGTGGTGGGCATTGTCACCTGGAGCTCAATGAAAGCTATGATTAATGAATGATAAAGCCAGTTCACTGAGCCATGACGTTGTTACAGCACTGTCCTAGGCAGGAAACTAATTATATGGGGAAATAATCATTCAACCTGAGAAAGGTGTTTCCTATTCATTAGAAAATACTACGAAGAGATAATACTTGAGGAAAAAAAAACTTTTACTATACTCTGGGCCAAAAGAAAGGATTATTCCATTCTTTATAATGAATTTGTTGGGAAACCTCAAATTTGAATTTTGGCTTAGTTGTAGGTTTTGCTTTGGGGTGAAAAAAAAGTGTTACTCGATTATAAACAATTTGGTACATGACTAGTTCTTGAAAAATATATATCTCTAAATGAAAATTCTCAATTTGTGTTTCATCACTGAAAAACTTGGTAGGCAAAAATGTTTTCAAGACTATAATACAAGCTTAGGGGAAATTTTGGTCATTATTGTTCATTTATTTTCCTTATTGAGCTAATTTAATTATCATAGAGACACAAACATTAGCTCCAGTGCTGGGCTTCTCACATCTGTTAGTAAAGATTTGATTAGGGCTACACAAATGTGCTAGATTAAACTATCTAGTTGGTGAAATTCAAGCCACCTGGATATTTTAGCAACATCAATAAGAATAATTCTCTTTTTCAAAATCAGTAAATCCAGGCTATATTAAAAAGAATTAATTAATGAGTGCCAGATAGGCAAAACAAACATTTGACAATGAATCATATTATCAAAGGTTTTGAGGGAGATCCTTCTCAGCTTATGTTTAGATGTCAAATTATATTACCAAAACTAAACAATCTGTTAAAATGATGTCTTAATGCAATAAGTCTCCTGCACCGTACTTTTTTTTTAACAACCTTAAATATTTATAGTAGAAAAAGAAGATATGCTCTATTTAACAATGATAATCAAATCACAAGACATTTGCCCCAAAATATTGCCTTAGATATTTCCAAGAGCTGTTAACACAATTTAAATCCTATAAGAAAAAGAAACTATTATGTAGTTTGGTTAATATATAATACGTATCTTTTGAAGCAGCACAAGGCATATTTCACAGAAGATCTGTAAAGATATGGGCATTGAAAGAATTAATGTATAAATATTAGGTATTTTATAGGATACATAAACAATTCTAGAATAGGAAAGGACCCTGAAAATTGACTCCTCCAGGGCTGCCCAACTTTCTCTGTTAATGGATGGGTAGTAACTATTTTAGGCTTCCCAGGTGGCACTAGTGGTAAAGAACCTGCCTGCTGATGCAGGAGATGCAAGCAATGCAGTTTCGATCCCTGGGTTGGGAAGGTCCCCTGCAGGAGAGCATGGCAATGCACTCCTCTCCATTCTTGCCTGGAAAATCCCATGGACAGAGGAGCCTGGTGGGCTACAGCCTGTGGGGTCACAAAAAATCAGACACGACTAAGCACACATGCATGCACAGTTAACTACTTTAGGTTTTGTGGGCCAGATGGGCTCTGTCACAACTGCTGAACTCTGCCCTCGTGGCTGCAGACAATAGTAAACTCACAGGCATGGTTGTGTCTCAATAAAACTTTATTTACAAAAGCAGACAGCAGACTGGATTTAGCCTATGTTTCATATTCCAATGATCCCTTATGGAACCCAACCTCTGTATTTTGAAGATCAGACACCTTAGGTCCTGGGTGGGAAAGTAACTCACTCACAGATAAACAGTAAGTTACACAACAAGTGGCAGAGCTAGAGCTGAAATTGACCTTTCTAACTTCTAGGCAGGCACTCACACTGGTCTGAATTAATTGCAGTGACACATGGATGGGTGGCCATGTTCAAATGGAAGGTCTGTCTCTGTGTTAAAGCACATCCACATGCTTCATGCATTGATGTCTATTGAATTGTGATGTGTAGATGATTCCTCAAGTCTCCAGAGAATGAGTTGCTTTTCAGAGAAGCAACAAAGACTTTGTGACTTTTCAGCAAAGTCACAAAGAATATTTTTTTGGGAAAGGAACACGAACAGCCTGACAGTTAGTGAAGCATGAAAATGCTTGACTGAAAAGCCACACATGGCTTGCTTCCTTAAAGACCATTTCAGTCCTGGAAAACTGCATTTCTATTGAATATTTATAACAAATATGATTGAATAAGAAGAATCTAAAGTGGAAAAAAAAACCCTGTGTGTTGTGATTCCAAATTAAATCTTATTTTCATGGTTGACAGTGTTTTGCATTCCCCATGTTTGCATTGTATAAAAAAACCATCATATTACAATGCCCTTTTCCAGCACCAAATAATCAGATTTCTAGATTAACACTTGAGTCACCAACATCCATTTTCTGGTGGGGTTTCCCATTTTCACATAACTCATTCTTTTCATTTGGAAGAAAGTGGAAGAAACGGGACCCTAGGAAATTCTATATGGAGAACTGGATCAGGGTCTTTCTTCGAGGGCATCTGTGGATGTCTGCGTGGAAAGGCTTGGTAATCACTGCTCTGAAACTGACAGTCCAGAAAGACATGATTGATGAAAGGGAATTGGATGTTTGAGCCAAAATGGACCGTCATTAACTAACTGAACCAAGTAAACGAAATGGAGTTTCCGAGGGGCATGGGGCACATTCTTCTGGAAAACGTGGGCTCAATGTTCAGGATGTGTTTCACCGAAGGGGGTGGGGGGGAGTGGAAGGAGCCATTACTTAATGGCTCCCAGCTTGTGAAGGTGAAATAGCCCACACTATGTAGGGTTTTTTTTCCCCCCCTTCGGCAGCTCTGTGTTGATGTTGATTCACACATTTCTCACAGAACAGATGAAGGTGCATCTTCTCATGTGTCATGCATTTTCTGGTCCTGAAAATCACAAAAGATGTTTCTGTACTAATAAATGCAAATAGGACTCTGCTACTGTAATTGTTTTCTAGGTTAGGCATTTTAAACCAAGTTAGTAAATTAAACTGTATTTTTTGAACTTCAGCTTATGTGAGCAAACAAAATTATGCATTTGTGTAAATTCATATTTTTTAAAAGGAGAAAAGAAATTTTAATTGATCTATTTTTAAAATATCTTGTGGATCTATTTTTGTTTATTTATTTAAAAAGTTTTGCAGTGTAGTTGGTTAAAGTCATATTTTCATATATAGTTCTCTTTCTTGACCCAGACAACAGTAGATTTATAGTATCTCATGTTAGTACTTAACTTTAAAGTAATAAAAAGTAGTTTCTACAATATAATAAAAAGAAATCCATACAATTATTGACATATTGGAGTATATAATCTTTTTTTTAATGTTTTCTGATAAAAAGTTTGTCCCCCTCAAAACATATCCACCAGATTGCGTTAGGTCAAGGATAACAAAAGCATGAATGATTCAGATGGACACCTTTTGAACTTTCCTCAGGAAGACTTGAGTGGTAGGATAACTTAAAATCTTAACCAGAATGTATGCAGGTGGCCATTTCTCGGCTTGAAACATCTTGAAACAGTTTCCGTGCCTAGCAAGGAGGCTCCTGGTGTCAGAATGTGGCTTGCTCAAGAGGGAGGGAATGAGAGTATGTAAATGAGCGCATATGTATTAGTTCAAGAGCAAGACTGAGCACCTTAAAGGTTAGAAGCCCAGAATCTCATTACTCTCCTCTCAGAATCTGGCCAGAGTACATCAAGTGACCAAAAATGCATTTTCATTTTGTTTTATTAACCAAAAGAATTTCTGTTTTGGTTTCTGTAATAGACTATGAAGAAGTACAGGGCAGCCTGCAATGTATTATTCTGCAAGAGTAACAAAGACAAACAATTAGCAGACTACTGAATTCAAGTGGATTTACTATGGTGGATGTTTACCTAAACAGAAGTCTGGGCCTTGATTTTAAGTATTAACGGATGAAAATCTTGGCTGAGCTTTCTGAGCTATTTCAGCTTATAAAAGAGAACTTGAGACAAGTGTGTAAGAGTTTGTAGTATACATTTTTGTATTAGTGTTATTCCTTGCTTCATGTTATAGTTACACTTTCTTAAAATGTTATCTGAAGAATTTCATGTATCTCTAGAAATACTTTAGGTCCTTTTTGGAAATAGAAAGTTGCATTTATAGTGTGTACATTTTAAATAATCATGGAAATTTAAAGATGGTATGATTCAATGACAGGCACAAATTATTATAAGAAAACCTGAAGTCATTAGCCCAAATAAAGGATTAGAATTAACAATGAAATTGAACCTAGAGTATAATTAATGAAGTCTCTAATTGTTCTTCCTGTGTTAGTTCATTAAGCCTCACTATCGAATGGATATTCGGGCATCTGTCTCTAACATCTGTTGTCTCATTGATTCCCTGGGTTGAATCCATCAATGCCTGGGAGGAAGGGTATGATTTCCCTCCAAAAGTGAACATACTGGGAAAAAACAAACCAATAACCGTTCTTTAATGTGATAGCATGATAAAGAAGGGAGTTTAACTAACCTAAGACTTACATGAAAAGATTAGGGATTATGCTAAATGAGTTCACTAAATGAAAAATAGAAAGTATAATTTTTCCAAGAAATTTCACATTAGCTGAATTCAATTGCAATCAAAAACACATATCAAACACCTACTTTGCACAAGATGTTCTTGGCTTATGATGGCTCTTATTGACTGAGCACTTATCTGTATCAGACTTAATGTCAAGGTTTTTATGTACTTTATCAAGTTTAATTTACTCCTGCCTTGAGGCCCAGTGTTGGTATTTCCATTTGCAGCTGAGTAGACTGAGGCCCAGAGACATCATTTGACTTGCCCAGTTTCAACCAGTAAGTGAGGAAGTGAGGCTCCCCATCTGCTTCTAGCACTGAGCTTTTATCCAATACTCTGAGAATAAAACGTCCCCTCTGGAAAGTTATTTGTTGCATGACTTAGTTGGCTCAGGCTGCTATAACAAAAGTAGCATAGGTTGGCTTAAACAAACATTATTTCTCATAGTTCTGGAGGCTTGGAAGTTCAAGATCAAGGTGTCAGCAGATTCAGTGTCTGGTAGGAGCCCACTTCCCAGTTCATAGACAACTGCCTTTTTGCTGTGTCCTCACATTGGTGTTTTATAAGGGCACTAATTCCAATCACAAGGGCTCTACCCTCATAGCCTCATCACAAAGGGCCCCAGCTCCTAATACCATCTCACTGGAAGGTTAAATTTCAACATATGAATTTTGAGAGATCACAAATATTCAGCACATAACACAGAGGGCCTGAAAAGTTTCCTCCCTGTTCCTTGATGATCCAGAAATAAAAATAAGAATAAGAAATCAGAATGTCAAAGCTAGGACACAAAAATCTGACGCCTCCTATGGATGCCTGATGTCAAGGGGAGAAAGAGATACTTTAAGAGATGTCTCTAGAGACTTAGGCTCATTTTAATCTCTGCTTATGTAGGTTGTGTTGGGTTGGCCAAAAAATTCCCTTGGATTTTTCCATAACATCTACAGAAAAACCTGAACAAACCTTTTGGCCAACCCAATACATGGTCCACAGTATGGCCACCCCGGCCATGCATTATCTTTAGTTTCCGCGCTCTACTGGTGATGAGATAGGAGATGAGCAGATGTCTTCTCAAATAGATGACTGTTCTCAGCACCATGGACTCATTTTTCAGGAACAAAAAGTTCACAGCCTATGTTTGGATCTTGCCATATGACCTTTTCCCAGTTGGAAGATTCGAAATAGTCTCACTGTGCTCAGAGACTAATGGTGTAGAGAGGAAATAAATTTATCTTTTTCTTGTTTTATGATGACCTTTATTGTGTTCTAGATAACCTTTTACGATGACTTTTAGTGCTCTAGATAACACACTCATTAAGAATTGGAGAGCAGAAAGACCTAGAAGATGGCAGAGGTACAGAAAGAAGCAAAAGATGTCCTTGTCATTTAATCAGCTTGTTAAGTTCCAAGACTTTATATTAAAAAAGAAAGAATAGTTGCTTAGGCTATTATTAAAAGCAAACAATAAAACTCTAGCTGAAGAATAGTTGGCTAGTAAAAGCAATCCGAGGATAAGTTAAAACTTGGAGGCAGTGTGCTGGGTTAAGATACTTTACCTGAAGATAAATAAATGTATAGTAAAGCTCATTGCTACTTTGAAAGTAATTTGGCTTCAGCTTGCACTGGCAGATGGTTGTATGTATAAATATTTGCTCATGGCCATTACTATTATTAATGTATACCATTTGGGAAGTTTCAGAGTTCTAGTCATATGGATTTATTAGGAAATGTTCTCCTGTCTGGGAGATGTGCATTGCTCCAGTTTTCCTCTTTTGCAGTAAAGCGTGAGTCAAGTGAAAAAATCTGAAAGTGGACACATTGAAAAGGGTAAAGGACTAGCTTCATTTTACCCACATCACCCCTTCGCAAGGTGACATGGCTTGGTGCCCAAAGAGGACCCTAAGCCTGTAGTTTCTCCCATGGGTGGACATGAGAGCAAAGTGAGCACCTGGCTTCCTCATCCCTGTGGGATGATCCCCAGGAGATTACTTCCATCCCGCCCCATGCAGAACATGGAGGGGTGGGGACAGGGATCACCATGGCAACACCATCTGGGGGCAGTAAGGAACACTAGGAGCAGAGATAGAGGAGGGAAATTCACAAGCAGCCTGTGGATCTCATAATCTGGACACAGTCCTTTTCACTGGCTTGCACACCCTACCAAGAGGCCTGTCCATGAAACCTTCAGGACAACCTGCCTGCAAACTCCCTATTAGCCAATGTACTCTGCGAGCCCCTGTGTGTGGCCCCTGCAAGCTCTTGCAGACGATGTATGTGAAGCCCTAACTGACAGCACAGAGATCTCAGTGGTAGGAATGGATGTCAGCAGCTAACTGGACTCTCTGAACTGGACTGGGTGTACAGCCTTGAAACTTCAAGGTACTGCCCAAGGGAACACGAGCAGGAGGCTCTAAGCACCCAGCTTGGCTTTGGGGGATCAAGAGAAGACACACAATCCTAAGGCTTTCCCCCTTAGAGGGAACAAGAGGAGCAGAGACAGCACATCCCAGGGTCTCTAGCTGAGCTGACTGGTAAACGCCAATCTTACCTGAAGTCAGTCACTTAAAGCTGGAGCTGCTGGCACCTTCTTCAAATGCAAAAATGACAAGAGGCTTTGGGGAACACAAAATCTCAAGATAACATGGCCGCTCCAAAGGAATGAGATCACACTACATTGGCGGAGCACAAAGAAATGGGGATTGATAAACTGCCTGACAGAGAATTCAAAATCACCATCTAAAAGTAGCTCGGTGAACTATGAGAAAACACAGACAACTAAGTTAAATCAGGAAAACAATGCTTGAACAAAACGTGAAATTTAATAAAGAAATAGTAAGCGTGAAAAAGAACCAAACCGAAATGTCTGAACTGAAAATCCAACAAAGAGTTTCAACAACAGAGGTTTAGAAAAAACATTTCATCAATAAAGAAACACAGTGGCAAATAAGCACACAAGAAGATGCAGAGCATCACTAGACATCAGGGAAGTGAGAATGAAAGCTGCAATGAGATACTACTGCATATAAAATTAAATGGGTGACTGTATCAAGTATAGGTGAGGAGGTAGAGGAATTGGACCTCTAGAATACTGATGGGAATGTCAAATGGAAGGATTGGTGTAAAGAAGTTCAGTAGCTTCTGAAAATGTTAACTATCTACTGCCATATGACCTAGCTATTCTTTTTTTTTTTTTTTTTAAGTCTCTCAGTCATGTTCAACTCTTTGGGACCCCATGGGGTATACAGTTCACGGAATTCTCCAGGCCAGAATACTGGAGTGGGTAGCCTTTCCCTTCTCCAGGGGATCTTCCCAACCCAGGGATCAAGCCCAGGTCTCCTGCATTGCAGACAGATTCTTTACCAGCTGAGCCACAGGGGAAACCCAAGAATACTGGAATGGGAAGCCTATCACTTCTCCAGCAG